AAAACCTGGGGCGCGGGGAAGCCCCTGCCGTGCTGCTCCCGCCGTCCCCGCTGCGGGGACACCTCAGTCTCCCGCAGCCCGTGCTGCCGCTGCGCTGCCCAGAGGCAGAGCCCAGGGCCGCCCGTGGCCGGGAGCCGGGCCTTGGCCTTGTGGCCTGGGGAGGAACCAGTGACTGCCATCTGGGCTAGGCGGGTTACCCACCTGCCCAGGCCCTGCGCAGCCAGGGAGGACACAGGGCGTCCGTGGCACCTACCTTCCTACCCAGCAGTGATTTTGGTCTCTGTGGGGCGTTTAGAAGCCTGGGTCCCAGGCCCAAGAGCTCGCACGCTGGCCCCAGCCCTCTCCCAGCTTCAGTCTCGGCCCCTGTGCAATGGGCAGGTGATACTCTGACGCCCTCAAGTCCCTTTTACACGCTTGGCCGGTCAGGCCGGAAGCCAGGAGTTATTTCCTTTCTGCTCCAGGGGAGGCGTTTCCTCATATTGCCCAGGCCTGGCCGGTGGGGAGAAGCCTGGGGTCTGGCTAGGCACCCTCCTTGGGAAGCTGTCCAGGCTGATGCTGAGTGAGCAAGTCCTGTCCATTTGGGAACAGGGGGAGAAACCGAGGCAGTTCAAAGTCAGATGGGGTTTGAATGCCCCATCCTGTGACCTTGGGGGAAGGGGCTTCACCTCACTGGGCCTGGGGTCTCTGGACCTGAAAGATGGGATTAGCCTTCGTCCCTCCAGGATGGCGCGAGGATTCTATGGGGTTGCGTCTGTGGACCCTGAAGCCGGCTCCCCGTTGCTGTTATTATGGTTAATGCTACACCGCGCTGCTTGTGACCTTGGGCAAGTCACTTCTGCCTGAGCCTCAGTCTCCCCTTCTGTAGATCAGGTGCAGCAGCATGTCTGCCTCCCAGGTGGTGGCGGGATCCTGGAGGTCCTGCAGACCGGGCCGGCCTGGCGCGGTGCTCTGGGGACAGGTGCCGTGGCGTTGGCCTTGTTGTTGGCTCTGCCAAGCTAGCCTCCCTGAGGAGCCCAGCCCCAGCCTCTCCCTTGGAAGCCCATGTGGCCGTGTTTACTAGAAAGCACAGAGCCCTGCTGCAGATAGGTCCCAGCGAGGGGTTACTGCTCCGTGTTGCAGTCCTGGTGGCAGCCCCTGCTCCAGTGGGGATGCCAGCACCCCAGAACCCCTTGGTCAACCCCAGCACACCATTTGCAAGGTGGTGACCTGGTCCAGTGTTGATATGGCAACCATGCTATCTCCCACCAAGAACCTGATCAGCAAGTTTCCTGCTGCTGGGGCCCTGCTGCCTGACCCAGCCTGACCCAGCCGCCCAGCAGAGCAGAGCTAGGTGTGGGGAGACCTGAGCTCCACAGGCCCCAGGGTCTCCGTGCTGGAGTGGGAGCCAGCGCCCAAGCCCCAACCTCCGGGTGGAGGAGGGAGCTGGGAGCTTTATAAATAGAGGCTTTCTCTGCTCTGCACGCCCACCCCCTGCTCTGCCATCTTGCAGGGAGCAGTCTCGGACTTAAGCACCAAACCCCTTCCCTGGGCAGGAATGGGGCAGGGAGGCAGGCCTTGGAGAAGGAGCCCTGGGGGAAGCTGGGGGGGACCTGCCCGAGGCCAGGCTGTCCTGGGCTGGAAGTCAGCCAGGAGGGGTGGGGGTTCTAAATGATCAGTATGGGGGTAGCTCGCCTGCATTGGTGCGGCCTTGCCAGGCACCAGACATGCTGGGTGAGCTCCCAGCACCTGTGAGGAGTCGGTTTTAAGAGCCTGGCCTCACCCTGTCCAGCGGGGACCAAGGCCTTGGCCTTGAGATGACAGTCTAGAGTGATTCCGGGTGGCATCCTGGATGGAGGACCCTGGAACATGCGATGAAAATAAGGAGGGGTTGGACCAAGGGAAGTTGGACCAGGAGGGCTCCAGGTGGCAGAAGCAGCCTGGGTGAGAGCACCGAGGAGGAGCACCTAGGGCATGTTTGGAGAAGGTGCCGGTGGGCGTGCTCGTAGACACACAGTGATGGCAGCAGCAGTCATAGTAGTGGGAGAAGGGATCGTGATAAAAGACGAGAGGCGGCGACACCGTCATCGGAGCCAGGCAGGTGGCAGAGGACTTGAAGCAGATGCCCGAGGTCGGCAGAGCCTGGGAGAGCTTCGAGCTGGGTGCTGTGGGGCGTGCGGACCAGGGGCCAGCGGGTATGGGGAGTGCTGCTGTTAACCCCAGGGGGAGAGGAGGGGCTGTCAGGTGAGGACCCTGGGCAGCCCCTGAGAGCCACGGAGGGACATGAGGAGGCTTTGTATTTTATTATTTTTTCTTTTTCTTAGTTTTGTTATAGGGTGTGTACAGTCACTGGAGAGACAGAGAGGAGGGAAAGTGAGAGATCACACCTCCCCCTCGCCCCCGGGACCGCTGTGCTGCAGTACCTTTTACCTCCGTCTCCTCAGGACCTTGGTCACACGTGCACACGGGCCCGTGATTTTCAAGCTCGGGTCCCGGACTCAGACTGCACAGTCAGCCTTAACCTCACAGCGTCTGCTGGTCCTGTTTTTATTTTATTTTTTTATTTATTTCTTCCATGAGCCAGAGAAAGAGCAGCCCTAGGAGAGTCTTGACGTCACAATCCTCTCCAGCCTGCCAGCCCCAGGCCGTGGGCACATGCCCCGTGTGCTCATGGACGTCTCTGGATTTGAATCCCGAACCTCTCCTTGCGAGCTTGCCTGGCAGAGCTGTGCGCTTACGCTGCGCCACGGTCTGGCCCTAGCCCCGAGACCTTTCATTAATGATGAAGGTGCAGCAGCTCACATGTACCCAGCCCGTACTCTGCTGGCCCAGTACTCCATGAGAGCCTGGGATCCACATTTCCCCGAGAGCGTGGGACGACTGAGGCCCAGAAAGATGATTTTGCCTCTGTGCCTTGGCTCTGTCGTCTGGAAGATGAGGCTAAGAGCACCCCTCTCCCAGGGCTGGGTGAGAAGAGTCCTGTTGGGGCCTGGCTCCTGGGAATGATAGAGCCACAGGGGACCAGGCACAGGGGAGGGGCAGGCCTGAGACCAGCTCTGGGAGGCCTGGGTTTGGGGACCAACAGCCATGGTCAAAGGAGGGAGGAGGAGGCCAGGAACAGCAGGCCAGAGGCTACCCAGCCCAGCCCGGCCCAGCCCGGCCCTGAGGGAGAAACCCAAGCCCTGCTACATAATTGATGCAGTGGAGACCAGCCCAGCCTGGCTGGTGGCTGTCTCCCTCCCTCCCCTGGAGCCCTCTGCAGCCTCAGGCTGATTCATTGCTGCTGCTCCGCAGTCCTGGGAAGGGCCACCAGACCAAGACCTCCTGAAGGGATGTGGTGACACTGGCTCCAGTGCAGCGCTGCCTCTCATTCAGTGTTGGCGATACCGCCTTTGGAATGGGGAACGACGCCACCTTCCGGCCAGCAGTATCTGTCTTCTGTCTGCCTGTCTCCTGCGTCTCTACTCCTGTCTCACTCCTGCAGGTCTTCAGTCTTGTCCTTTGGCTGTGACCTTGGACAAGCCTTTTCCTTTGGCTGGAGGAGACCTTAGTGTCCCTGTTTGAAAAATAGGGACATATGGTGCTGGCAGGTAGCATGGTGGTTAAGGTGCTGGACTCCCATGTGGCTGACCGCAGTTCGAGTCCCAGACCTGACAACTTACTTTCTCTTTCTCTTTCTCTCTCTCTCTCTCAAATTGTTTCTCTCTTGTCAAATTGAAGAATAATAATAAATAAAATTAATTAATTCTTAAAAGTAAAAAAACAGGGATATTTGTCCCAGGGTCATCCTAGATCAGAGGGAGCGAGGTCTTCAGCCAGCTCTGGTTGTTCCTAAGTGGCCCACGTGGTTCCTGCCAGCTCAGCTCGAGACCCATGTGACACTGGACCTGAGTGTGCCCAGCAGCCAGTTCTGAGGGACTGCTGGGGTCCCCGTCCAACACGCCAGGCAGAGCTCAACCGTTCCGTCCTCCCTGTTCTGTCCCGCATGGGCTCCCTCCTGACAGACAGGCTCCTTTCTAGCCCGCATCTGGGCAATTCCACCCTCACAACCTTCAGAGAAGTGCCCTTGTTCTCCCTTCTTTTTTTGCTCTAGGGCTGTGTGCTCCCCGTAGAGAGGTAGAGAGAGGGAAAGTGAGAAATCACCCCCCAATGGCCACGCTGCAATCCCTTCTACTCCAGTCTCCTCTCGAGATTGTGGGCCCGCACAGGCACCTGCCAGCTCTAGCCCCATTGTTCAGCTCAGGAAGCTGATGCTCAGAGAAGCAGAGCCCCTGCTCAAGGTCCCCAGCTGGACAGTGGCAGAAGTAAGACTTGGACCAGGCCTTCTGATTTCAGAACCTGGGTTCATGCCACTCACTCCCCTGGCGCTGGAGCCCCCGATGACCCCGAACCTTGCTGGGTCTCACACTTTGCTCCAATCCTCTCCCTCTGAATCGGGATCGGAGGACCTAGAGATGGCCTCCCAAGGGTCCCTTACCCTGCTAAGCTGGGCGCCAGGTGTATAGGAATAAGCGTTTCTGGGGAGACGCTAGAGCCCTCACGGGATTTCTAAAAGAAGCCGCGTTTCCCGCTCTGTTCCGACCTCTCAGCCCAGGAAGGGGTAGACTGAGCGCTCACAGAGTGGCCCCTACAGAGCCCATTCATTGACCCTGAAGCCTGGATTCAGGCCGGGGGCAGGGCACCCACCCCACCCCACCCCTACTCCCACCCCACTCCCTTCATTTGACCCTGCCTGCCCCGCGGCCTCCCCAACAGTTCACGGAGGAAAAGTTTGGCCAGGCCGAGAAGACAGAGCTGGACGCCCACTTTGAGAACCTCCTGGCGCGGGCGGACAGCACCAAGAACTGGACGGAGAAGATCCTGAGGCAGACCGAGGTGCTGCTGCAGCCCAACCCCAGTGAGTGGAGCCGGGCCAGCGGGCGGCAGGGCTGCAGGGGGACTGGCGGGGTGGGTCAGGGGCAGAGACGGGAGACTGTGGGCCTCCAGGGTGCTCTCTGGATCAGTGAGAATGCTAAGTTTTGCCAGAAGAGTTAAAGAAATGCCCGAATCTAAAACATACTTGGGAAAGAGGCCGGCAAAACACAAACCCAGTCTTTTCGAGAGGTCTGCGAGGCCCAGAGATGGAAAGCAGCTTGCCCAAAGTCACCGCAAGCGAGTGGAGGCAGAACTGACTGCAGGAGCCTGCGGGCAAAGAAGGGGGGCCCGGGA